GTAGTCAATTTTTTTTCTTACAATTCTTCTCTGCTTCTTCGATTGGAACTAGAACTCTGTTTTTTTGCGAGATGGGTGTGGAATCGGTGTCTCGAGAATCTTCGGATCGGAGAAACTGGGATAAAATTTTCAAGAGTTTGGTGATGATTCTACAGACGAAACAAGACCAGCTCGAATCACTTGTCAAAGACAGGAAGATGATTGAAGATAGGATCAAGAAACAGCACGAAAACTGGGTTAACGATGTTCGGAATTACGAGGATCAACTCTCTCTGGTAAATAAATAAAAAAACCCCTTTTCTGATTTCGGAAAAAGTTAGGGTTTTTAGGGTTTCACGCTCCACTAAATTCGCTGGTCTTCTCATCAATTTCAGCGAAAATTTATGAGAATTTGTTTCTATTTATAAAGGATTTAAAGTTTATTGTCTTTAATTTCCTTTTTTTTCTTCAGATGAGTAAAGAAATTGAAACGACAAAGATGATGCAGATGGTTGAAACCGCTAAATGTAATCTCTTGGTTGGGTTAAAGGAAAGCGATCGTTCTATTTGCAATTTTAAATTAGGTAAAGTGACTATTTGGAAGATAAACAGATTCAAGTTGGTTCCTTTCATGTCCTTACGAGATTAAAGTTTCATTCTTTTTCTTCTTTGTTTCATGAAAACCAATGTGGAAATTGCAGAACAGACGAAGGATGAGTTAGTTGACTTCAAGTCTTGGTTTGATTTCCTCACTCTGAGTACAAATGTAAGTTAAAAGTTCAAATTTTTGTAAGCTTTTGTTGTTTTTGTTTTAGAAACTCGTACAAATGCATCTTCTTGTTGTTGTAAATGCGCAGATGCAGAAGGGAAATGGCGACTCTGAAGCTGCGGATAATAAGTCATTAGAAGCAGAATTCAGAAAACTGAAACTTGACTATGAAAAGCTTGCTTCTCAGAAGAAGTGCGAGGTATCTGATCTTTTACGAGAAAACGGGTTTGCTTGGAGTCAATTCAAATGTATCGAAAGTGGATTCACTGATAAGTTGAAGAGGAAAGATGACGAGATCGCTCAAGCAAATACGAAAATTTCAAGTCTTGTATCTTATCAAGAGCAGCTTCAATCATCTAATGATGACAAGGATGAGATTATCTCAAGATTGAAGGCTAAGGTTGCTGAAATGGAGTCGAATTCTACTAAGAAAGATGAGGAAATCTCGAAACTCTCACTGAATCTAGAGTCTTTAAAGAAGTCTCGTGGGCTTACACCGATTTTAACTCGATGCACAACACGCCAAAAAGGTAATACGGTGGGGTCTCATATATCTACAAAGAAAGAGAAGTCAGCTGCATCAACACCAAATGAACAGGTACTTATGAATTTGAATATGCGTTGGTGTGTGTGTTCTTGCATTCTTGGGAGTAGAGATAACATGAGTGGTATATTACATCATTTGATTAATTTCGATCATCTACAGCAAAAAGATCTTGATATAGTAGCTTAATAGTATGCCTTTTGAATCTGTGATCAGGGAAGCAAAAGCTCGAAGAGGAAAAGAGTGAACCAGACACCGGTCTCAGTTTCAGAAATCCCAAAGCTGTTCACATCAACATTTAGAGTTCCCAAGTTAAAGTCTCCATCTTCTGGAGCAATTTAGATTATCTTCTGATTGTGTGTGTCTGCTTCTATTAGTGAACTTAGGTTTATAGAAACTCCACTGCATGTAAATCTATCTGTATTTAGGATCATGTCCCTTATGCATCTATTAGGTTATAGTTCTTGAGAAATTTTCCCTTACCCCAGCATTGTTCTGACATTTATTTAGTTAGGAACCTCATGTTGCATCTAGCAGCTGTTTTTTTCCCCCATGTATTATTATTTGTCTTGAAACTTAACCAGAAAAGGAAGCAGCAATGGCTGAACTTCTGGCAATGTAATGAAGAGTTAAAGCGGCTTTGAAAGAAGAGTTTTTGTGATTTGATATTCGTTTGTAGCTGAGACTTCCTCTTTGTTTGGCTTTTTGATATTTTGAATAAGATCATTCATAATCTTCTTGTATTGGTCTGACAGTGAGATTTCTCCTTCAAAATCAAAATCAACTTTATTAATTTCAGGAGACTTGAACCAAACCGATCATTGGAAATTTGTCTATATATAACCATTTGGTTCGAAGTCATATCAAACTACGAATCTACTGTAGACTCTAAATCGTTAGGTATAATCGGATAAAAGGTTTCGATCTTTTGTTGGTAAAAGAAGAAGAAGATGCCATTGGAGGCTGCGAAAGCTGTGAAGAAAGAGGAGTGAGGAAGACAATAAGAGCTTGAGTTCTTTTGTTAGGAAGAAGCCCACGAACGCAAACAATGGCGGTTCGTCTATGACATTTTCAGAAGAAATCGAAGAAAGAAGAGAACGACGACGATGATTGTGTGTCTGCTTCTATCAGTGAACTTAGGTTACTCCCTGCATGTAATCTATCTGTATTTAAAATCATCTCTCTGATGCATCCATAAGGGAGCTCATGTTGCATCTAGCAGCTGTTTTCTTTTTTTCATGTATTATTTCTTGAAACACTTAACCTGAAAATCTTCTTTGTGTATATTTTTTTATTTTCCATTTGGAGAAATTAGATTAAAAAGGCCCAAGCCACAATCAGTTGTTACAAACCTAACCTATCGCCATACAAGATGAAATACCAAAAAAAGGCATGAGATGGCAAAACAAAGTGATGGAGGGATCAAAGAAGATAAACGCAAAGCTCTTATTTAGTCTTTGAATGCCTAAGAACGTTGCCTTCTTATTACGTTGAGATCGAAGAATCTAGTCGGAATAAGGAAGAAAAGAGTTAAAAGTCTTGTTAATAATTCAATA